TAGAAGACTTATTGTTTCAGGCCTAATCTTTAGGTCTTTGATCCATTTTGAGTTTATTTTAGTAAATGGTGAAAAACAATGGCTGATTTTCATTCTTTTACATGTGGCTGTCCAGTTTTCCCAGCACCATTTGTTGAAGAGACTTTCTTTCCTCCATTGTAGGCCCTCAGCTCCTTTGTCAAAGATTAGCTGTCCATAGATGTGTGGTTTTATTTCTGGGCTTTCAATTCTGTTCCATTGATCTGTGCATCTGTTTTTGTACCAGTACCATGCTCTTTTGATTACTGTTTTGAAGTCAGGGATTGTGATGCCTCCAGCTTTGTTCTTCTTTCTCAGGATTGCTTTAGCAATTCAGGGTCTTTTGTTGCCCCATATGAATTTTTGGATTCTTTGTTCAATTTCTGTAAAGAATGACATTGGAATTCTGATTGGGATAGCATTGAATCTGTAGATTGATTTAGGTAGTATGGACATTTTAACTATGTTTATTCTTCCAATCCATGTGCATGGAATGTCTTTCCCTCTCTTTATGTCGTCATCGATTTCCTTCAAGAAGGTCTTGTAGTTTTCGTTGTATAGATCTTTCACTTCCTTGGTTAAATTTATCCCAAGGTATTTTATTCTTTTGTTGCGATCATGAATGGGATTGAGTTCTTGAGATCTTTTTCTGTTAGTTCATTGTTAGCATATAGAAATGCTACTGATTTATGTATGTTGATTTTATACCCTGCAACTTTGCTGTAGTTGTTGATTGTTTCTAATAGTTTTTCTATGGATTCTTTGGGGTTTTCTATATATAAGATCATGTCGTCTGCAAACAGTGAGAGTTTTACTTCTTCGTTGCCTATTTGGATTCCTTTTATTTCTTTTTCCTGCTGAATAGCTCTGGCCAAAACCTCCAGTATTATGTTGAATAAGAGTGGTGAAAGTGGGCACCCTTGTCTTGTTCCTGTTCTGAGAGGGATGGGTTTCAGTTTTTGTCCGTTGAGTATGATGTTGGCTGTGGGTTTGTCATATATGGCCTTTATTATGTTGAGGTACTTTCCTTCTATACCTATTTTATTGAGGGTTTTTATCATAAATGGATGCTGGATCTTGTCGAATGCTTTCTCTGCATCTATTGAGATGATCATGTGGCTTTTGTTTTTCATTTTGTTAATGTAGTGAATCACGTTGATTGACTTGTGGATGTTGAACCACCCCTTTGTCCCTGGTATAAATCCCACTTGATCATGGTGTATAATCTTTTTGATATATTGCTGTATTTGGTTTGCCAAAATTTTGTTGAGGATTTTTGCATCTATGTTCATCAGTGATATTGGCCTGTAGTTTTCCTTCTTTGTGTTGTCCTTGTCAGGTTTGGGGATCAGGGTGATGTTGGCTTCATAGAATGTATTAGAGAGTGCTTCATCTTCTTCTATTTTCTGGAACAGTTTGAGAAGGATAGGTATTAAATCTTCTTTGAATGTTTGGTAGAATTCTCCAGAGAAGCCGTCTGGTCCTGGACTCTTATTTTTGAGGAGGTTTTTGATTACTGTTTCTATTTCTTTACTTGTGCTTGGTCTATTCAGATTCCCTATTTCTTCCTGATTCAGTTTGGGTAGGTTGTATGAGTCTAGGAATTTATCCATTTCTTCTAGGTTGTTCAATTTGTTGGCATATAGTTTTTCATAGTATTCTCTTATGATCCTTTGTATTTCTTCAGTACCTTTTGTGATTTCTCCTCTCTCATTTCTAATTTTATTTATTTGAGACTTCTCTCTTTTTTTCAGTGAGTCTGGCTAATGGTTTGTCGATTTTGTTAATTTTTTCGAAGAACCCACTCTTTGTTTCATTGATCCTTTCTACTGTCTTTTTTGTTTCAATATCATTTATTTCTGCTCTAATTTTTATTATTTCCCTCCTTCTACTGACTTTGGGCTTTGTTTGTTCTTCTTTTTCTAATTCCGTTAGGTGTCGTTTGAGGTTGTTTATGTAAGATTTTTCTTGCTTATTGAGGTGAGCTTGTATTGCAATGAATTTCCCTCTTAAGACTGCCTTTACTGCATCCCAAATAAATTGGTATAGTGTGTTTTCATTTTCATTTGTCTCCAGATAATATTTGATTTCTTCTTTAATTTCTTCAATAATCCATTGTTTGTTCAGTAGCATGTTGTTTAGTCTCCACATTTTTGGCCCTTTCCCAGCTTTATTCTTGTAGTTGATTTCTAGTTTCATAGCATTGTGATCAGAAAAGATGCTTGATATTATTTCAACCCTCTTGAACTTATTGATGCTTGCTTTATTTCCCAAGACATGGTCTATCCTTGAGAATGTTCCATGCGCGCTTGAGAAGAATGTGTAACCTGCTGTTTTTGGATGAAGTGTCCTATATATATCTATTAGGTCCATCTGATCTAATTTTTCATTTAATTCTATAATTTCCTTGTTGATTTTCTGTCTGGATGATCTGTCCATTGGTGTTAATGGGGTGTTGAGGTCCCCTACTATTATTGTATTGCTGTTGATGTCTCCTTTTAGTTTTGTTAATAGTTTCTTTATGAATTTTGGTGCTCCTGTGTTAGGTGCGTATATATTTATAAGTGTTATGTCATCTTGGTGGAGCATCCCTTTTATCATTATATACTGCCCCTCCTTATCTTTCTTTATCTGTTTTGCTTTGAAGTCTACTTTGTCTGATATAAGTATGGCAACACCTGCTTTCTTTTGTTCATTATTAGCTTGTAGTATTGTCTTCCATCCCTTCACTTTGAGTCTGTGTTTGTCTTTGGGGCTGAGATGTGTTTCCTGGAGGCAGCATATTGTTGGATCTTGTTCTTTGATCCACCCTGCCACTCTGTGCCTTTTGATTGGAGAGTTCGATCCATTCACGTTTAGTGTGATTATTGAAACGTGGGGGCCTACTGTTGCCATTTTATCACTTGTTTTCTGGTTCTTTTGCATTTCGTCCTGATGGAGAGCTGTTACTTTGTGTTATTGTCCTTCTGCTTATCTCCTTTGTTCTGGATTTTGTAACCCCTTTCCTTTTTTTGATTTTTCAGAAATTAGTTTCTTCATGAGCAATTCTTGAAGAGGAGGTTTTGTGGTGATGAACTCCCCTAACTTTGTTTATCTGGGAAAGTTTTTATTTCTCCATCATATTTGAAGGATATTTTCGCTGGGTAGAGTATTCTTAGCTGCAGGTTTTTGTCCTTCAGAGTTTTGAATATTTCATTCCAATCTCTTCTAGTCTGTAAGGTCTCTCCTGAGAAATCTGCTGATAGCCTTATGGGGTTTCCTTTGTAAGTTATTTTCTTCTGCCTGGCTGCCCTTAGTATTTTCTCTTTGTTGTTGACTTTTGCTAGTTTCACTACTATATGCCTTGGGGTTGGTCTTCTTGCGTTAATAAAGTTTGGAGATCTATTGGCTTCTGTCACATGAAGTTCCATCTCTCTTCCCAAGTTTGGAAAGTTCTCAGCTATTATTTCTTTGAACAGGCCTTCTGCCCCCTTCTCCTTCTCTTCTCCCTCTGGTATACCTATAATCCTTATGTTGCATCTCCTAATTGAGTCGGATAATTCTCAGAGAGTTTCTTCATTTCTTTTTAGTCTTAGTTCTCTCTCCTCCTCTGCCTGCAGCATTTCTATATTCCTAGCCTCAAATTGCTAATTCTGTCCTCCATATTATCGACCCTACTGTTCAGAGAGTCCAGATTTTTCTTAATCTCCTCCATTGTGTTCTTCATCTCCAGTATTTCTAATTGGTCCTTCTTTATAGTGTCAAGCTCTTTTGTGACATAGCTCCTGAACTCATTGAGTTGTCTATCTGAATTCTCTTTTAACTCTTTGAGTTTTTTCATAATGGCAGTTTTGAAATCATCATCATTTAGGTTATAGATTTCATTGTCTTTGGGATTGTTTTCTGGGTGCTTATCATTTTCCTTCTGTTCTGGAGATTTAATATATTTTTTCATACTGCTTGATGGCGTGGATTTGTGCCTCCTCATAGAGATAGAGTTTAGTTGCTGCTTCCATTTGTTGCAGCTGGTGTGGGGGGGGAGGCAGCTGTTTAGACTGCACCAACCAGGAACCCTGTCAGCTGTTACTGACTGGGCCTGGACCCTTCCTCGTAGTCATAGTGGTCCTGTGGGGTCCCTCATCAGTTGCGGGGGCAATCGCAAGGGGGCCTCAGGCTGTTGGTGCCTACTGTTGCAGCCCACTTAGACACGCTCCCTCCTTGTGGTCTGCAGCGGTATTGTGGGCTTTCCCATCAGCCAGGAGCAGGATTACCTATAATCGCCGATTTGTCCCTAACAGAGTCCACCAGATCACACTTGTCTACTATAGGTCCCAGCAGAGCTATGGGTATCTTCTGCAGTCTGTCGTTAGCTCACCTAGCTGTGCTGCTTTTGCCCCAGGGCCTTCCCGCCTTGCAATTCCCAGTCGGGACCTCTCCACCAGTGCTATGCAGAGGCTTTCGCTGAGGTTGCTGTAGGAATCTGGAGTTCCCCCCGGGCTACGTAGCTGTTTCACTGGAGCTCTACTCTGCCCCACTCCACTCTCAAGGGGTCTCTGGGAGCCCCTTGCCTCGTCTGGGACACTGCCAGAGTCTGTGGGCCTGGCGGTGGCTTGTAAGCTGCTGCCTTGTGGGGAATTCTGCTCTAGGGAGCTTCCTGGTGTTCCGAATGCTGGGCGGGGCCTCCCTGCCAATGGCGAGCAGAGGCCCTCCCCAGGGATAGGATTTTTAACTTTGAGTAGAGAGACACAAAGTTTAAAAAAATATATGGAGTTGATTCATCTGGTGGTGGCATGTTTACTAGATAATTTAGTCAATTAATACTTATCTTCTTGATACAAAAAGCAAGCCCTTCATACCTCTTAGGAGCTGGAAAGGGCTTTTTGCTCTTTCCAAGGCTGGTTTTTCAGTCATTCCTTTGTGTGGTCAACTCACTGAATTCCAATAAATCCTCTATTAGTTTATGTTGCTAAGCTAGGCAGAATTCTAAGATGACTCCCAATGACCCCTGCCCTGTAGAATGCCCTCTTGAGAATGGCAAGGACATGTAATTTGATTCTAACTAATAGAAAACAGCTAAGGTGATGGCTTTCACTCTCAGGACTGTGTTACCTCATATGGCAAAAGTGAAGGGATTTTACAGACGTAAGTAAGGCCCTTAATCAATTGAAAAGGGAGATTATCCCTGGCTGACCTGATCGATCCCTTTAAGAGAGGGACTATCTTCCTGAAGAGAGAGATTCTTCTATACTGACTTTGAAGAAGTAATATTCTAGGAGTCCTAAAACTGCGTGGAAACTGTGAGATAGTAATTACATGTTTTTTAAAGCTGCTAAATTGTGGGTAATTTGTTACACAACAGTAGAAAACTAATACTGTTGCCTTAGTTGGTTTCTGTTACTTTTAACCAAAGAACTCTGATAAAATGCTGGATCTCCCTCAAAACTCCTTGGCTGAAATCTGTGAAGTGTATTTTAATCAGTAAAGAGCAAAAATGGTTGTATTTCTCCAGGGGTTAAATGTCACAAAACATTTTGGTTTCTACATACCTGCAGTTTAGCATGAGTAAAACAGTCTTCTCCCTTTGACCAGCTAAACCAGCTGCTCTCAAACTTTTTTTTGTCTCAAAATCTCTATACTCTTAAACATTATTGAGTATCTGAAAGAACTTTTGTGTGGTTATGTCCTCCAATATTTAGCATGTTGGAAAATAAAACTGAGACACTTTAAAATATTTATCATTAAAAAATAAACCCCCTATTAAATGTTAACAGAAATAGCGTTTTTTGAACAGTGACTATATTTTCCAAAATAAACAAAAGTATATTGAAAAGATTGGCGCTGTTCTACATTTTTGCAAACCTCTTTAATATCTGCCTTAGTTGAAGCAAGTAGATTTTCATAGCTGTTCTGTATTTAGTATCTTGCTATTGTTTTTGGTTGAACGTATGAAGACAATCTGGCTTCACACAGATATGTGGCTGGAAAAGAGAGGAGCACATACTTTACAAGCTTTTCCAGATCATTGCGGATATTCTTTGATATTCTACCAAAAACTTGGCAAATTGTAGTTTCTTAAAGTTTATTACCATGTGGAATCTAAATCACATCAATGAACTTTTCACATTCTTTTACATCAAGATCCATTGGTCTATTTCACTATTTAAATGGATCTTTCACTCATGCATAATTTTACATCATGCATTGGTCATTTGGAAAATAATGATTCACGAGTTATGCAGATCTTCCAAATGCTGACACATTTCATTGTATAATATCAAAAATCATAATTGTTAATATCATCACCAATCTCATCAGAAAAAAACTTTAAGTATTGGGAAGCTGTCAAGCTTATTATAGAGACTGGTACAAATTTTCCAAAACTCTAATTTTCATTTGAAAGCTCCAAGTTTGTCACTGGCAAAATACTGCCAGCTGTCTTCCTAAGCGACAGGTTCACTTCGTTTCTTTTGACGAAATGTCTGCCAAATACCCAAATCTGAAGAACCATAGTTTGTCTATCTGTCGTTCTTTCCAATAAAAACGATATTCCATGAAAAAATCAGCTAGTTCAACTCACAAGTCAAGGGCACAAGTACTTTTCTTTGAGACAACCATCCTACTTTGGTATGCAGAAGAAGTTCTTAATATGTACTTTTCAGTACACCACACAAAACATTAAAGACATGTAAACAAAGACTGAAATAGAATTATTTTTACTTACTTCTTCAAGGACATTTTTAAATGCAACTGGCAATTTTGTTTTAAGCTTTGAGGGCTTGATGATCAAGAATAACATGACTCCCAGTACAGTTTGGGGTCCCTTCCTTGTTTTGTGCTAAATTTCATCCACCAACATTTTTGTACCATTAGTGAAAATGTCAACATGGTAAAAAAAAGTCAAATAACATCTTAACATTTTTATGGAAATAGTTTGGTCCTGTGGATCCCTGAAAGAGTCTTGGAGACCCCAGGCCACACTTTGAGAGTTGCTGATGTAAATTATTATTTGAAAGCACTATTACAACCATTTTTGCACTTAGTTCAAGGAGGGTTTAATAATACTTTCAGTTTGGGTTTAGAACTCTTTTCAAGCTGAAAGGAATTGCTGGTACTGTGCATGAGCACAGAAGTCCTTATCTTCAACTTATTTGCAAATACACTAAAACAAGGCAAGGAAAAGAGTTTCTTCATATTTATTTTGGGCTGGTAGTTAGCAAGCTTAGAAGTATATTCTATCATGACAAATCTAACTAGCTTTAACTTAGTTAAAGCTAAAGATGACAACATATCTGCAGTTTAATGTGGTCAATGTTCGGTTGCTCTGGTTTTCCTGTCTCAAAAATTTGGACATTTTTGACTTGTTGTTGCCCAAAGTTGCTAAAGGAACCAACATCCTTCCTTTTCTTAGCTATGTCCTGGTTCCCTTTCTTTGGTTCAGGGTGTAATTTGGTACTTCGGGAGGTTAAGGATATTTCTTTCTGAACATTAAAGCTTTAGTAACGAAAGTTCATCTGTTCTACTAGCCATGTCTCTCAGCCAGCTGATTGACTGAACAAAAGACAATTTCCTATTTTTTAACTCAACCTAGAATTCACTGAAATTGCTAGAAAAGCAACATGGTATTGACTAGCAGTACTTTCTTTCCTGACAAAATTATAACTCTCCTCTCATTTGCTTCCATCACCCAGATTTTTTTCCGGAGCTGATCTCACGATGCTACACACAGTTGAAGCTGAGTAATGTTGGTGGAACTGACTGACACGTGGGCCAGGGCACACTCTGAAAAGGTAATGCGTGGTGAAAGGTTCTGGCATGGCTTCCAGGTTTATTCTAAGAGAAAAAAAGCCCAGGCATTAGTAAATGCATATTTGCTATGGATTTATTTTCTTACCATAGCTGGACTCCTCAGTGGACCTCCTGTTTGACCACACACTTCAGGACTTATTACAGGAAGTGGCTCAGTAATAGCCAATTTTCAAGTGAATGAATTGTGGAAAAATACTGAGAGATGTATAAAGGTACATTTCCACAACAGACAAGGCTGCTAAAATTGCATTCCCAGCATGTACTACAGTGAAAATATGACGAGATTTTCTCATTTGCACTTGAAAAATTCTAACCACTGCTTATTCTATCTTCCTGACTCAGAATCTTTATTTTCACTTGAGTCTATTCATCCTACTCAGCTTCCCTATGAATGTCTTCCCTACTGCCTAAATCATTGATAGAGAGAAGTCCCCAAAAGAGAAGAGAGAAATGCAAATGCGGGTCCAGAGCCAAGTTCATCAATTAATCTTTGACAGAAGAGACGTAGACTAATTTGGTGTAAATACAGAAAAGGCATGCAGGTGTCTTCCCTATGGAGATAGATGGACAGAGTTCCTATCTCAAGGTTTCCATTTTCTTTTTTTTCCTAAAGATTGGCACCTGAGCTAACTGTTACCCATCGTTTTATTTTCCTTCTACTTCTCCCCAAAGGTCCCCAGTACATAGTTGTATATTCTAGTTGTGAGTGCCTCTGGCTGTGCTATGTGGGATGCCGCTGCAGCATGGCTTGATGGGCAGTGCCATGTCTGCACCCAGGATCCAAACCTGGTGAAACCCTGGGCTGCCGAAGTGGAGTGCACGAACTTAACTACTTGGCCATGGGGCCGGCCCCATTTTCTTTTGAAACAAGAATGAAAGCCACATACTGAAAATGACACTGGAAATTGTGAGTTAGAGGACTTGAGGAAGATGGTGAATGAGGGAAGGAGCTGTTGTGAGAATTTCAAGAAGGAGATGACCAGGCAGGCAGAAGCATTGCTGAGCAAGATTGAGGGTCTAGCCCAAATTGGGGACAATTAGTGGCAGCAATCTGCACATGCATGCAATTTTCCACAACTATGCTTGGTGATGCACGAATAGATGCAGAGATGCTAGACATTAGAATTTTTCCAGGATTTGGATTCTGGAGGTAAAATATGGAAGACAGCAAGAGACTCGAGTGTATGGTTTAAGAAAATGGTTTAGGAGAATGATTAAAAATTATGTAGTGTAGGCCAATTAGGGATAGAAAGGAAATCTGGGGGAGAGGCACTGATAGATTGGGAGGAAATGGAAGTGGGTCAAGGGACTGAAACACTCTATGACGTCAATGAATTAGTGATGATAACACTGAAGTCTCAAACTTTTCAATAACATATTCTTTCAGAGAGTGAGATATTGGAATCTAGGATTCCAGAGTTGAAGCAGTTCTGAGTGACAAGGTCCATGACGTGGTCATAGGAACAGTTGTCAATGAGGAGTTGATCTGAAGACCATTGGAAGTGAACAGGCTAAGGAAAATCAGTGGGGATGGGTGTATTTGTTAGGTCATTGACACTGATGTAGCAGAATTTGGAATGAAGAGGAAGATGGTGACTCAGATGCCAAAACTGTGAAAGAGCAAGGAGGAATAACCAAGATGCTGATGGATGGCAGTGATACTGGGTAGAACAATCATCAGATGGCATGGCCTACAAAAAAGATGGCTGGAGGTATAATGTGTAGGTCATAAGAGAATGCTAAACACTCTCCTGACCATGGGAAAGAAACAACAAACTATTTGAGATAACTCCGAATGGGATACTCAAATTTCAGTTAAAGCAAGAAGGTAAAAGATGTAGAGGGCTTCCACAAACATGCTGGAAAGATTAGGAGGGAGGGGGGCAGTAGGAAGGAAAAACCACGAGAAGGGAAGAAAGCACAAAGGAATGTGGAGATGAGAGTGTGTGGGAGAACAGATGACTGGAGAGGCTTGCAATTTGGATATTAACCAAGGGTGGAAAGGATGAGAGCAGCTTGAAGCTGCTTTAGGGTCAGTGCAGATCCCTGGAGCGCTGGAAACTGGATCACATGCGCAGGCTGAGACCCTTGCTCGAGTTTTCAAGGAGAAAGTTGGTGAGACAATGTCTTTGAAGAAATCTTAGCCTAGACTTGCAAACAATTAGTTCAATTCTGGAACCTTCGCTTTGTACTGGAAACAGTGTTTGTCTCTTCCCAGGGATAAATGGCAAAATCGGAATTCTTGGATTCAGATTCCCAACCTTCTTGAGATATGCTCTTCTTCAGTATCAAGGCTGGAAATCATGTATTGTACCCATCTCTTCTCTGAACTTTAAAAATCGATGTTCCCATAGTTTCGTTTTGTGCATCCAGTGTCCCCATGGCTCTCATGAACTGTGTCCTGTTGCTACACGTGTACAATCTCTATTTGACTGAGAGATCCTTGATGGGGATGGTGGTTTCTTTTTTGTCTCTGTATCCCCAGCAATTTGATCTGTGCAGGGCACATGATAGGCACACAATGTGTATTTGTTGGTGAATGAAGCATACAAATAAATCTCCTTGTACCTGCACCCATACTTTTCAATAGAGGGAAATGCTGCCTCTCTGTATCTAGGGCTCATCCCTCTACTTGCGTTTGGATTCCATCTCCTCCAATCTTCTTTAAGAGCTATGAGATAATGATCACTTCCTTCTCTTGCATATTAATCTGCTCCACTCAAAACTATCCTTCCTTTCAGATTTAGAATATCTCATAAGTTACTCTTTCCTGCCTAGACTTCACCCGCAAGCTTGAGACCATGGTGCACAATTGCCTACTTGACATTTCCACTTGGATATCACAAGGGCACCTTCATCTTAGGATCTTTCCTCTAACGACTGGTTCTTATTCCAGTTTTTCCTGTATTCTTGAACAAAATTCCTGTCCATCCTGTTGTACAAGCCTGAAAGCCAAGAGTCACCTTTGACCCCTCCTTCTCTCTCACCTCTGTATCTACCCAATATGGAGTCTTGATAGCTGTCCCCTGAATTTGCCTAATTGCCTGCCTTTCCACATCTACCACCACCACATGACACAAGCCACCACAACATCTTGCCTGGGCTGTTGTGTTTACTAACAAGTTTTCCTGCATCCACTTTTGCCCACACCAATTCCCAGTTCCAATCTCTTTGCCACATTGCAGCCAGTTCCAGTTTGGAAATAAAAATCTCATACCCTTAGATATCCCTAAACACCTCATGCCTTCCCGTTGCTTTTAGGGTAAAGGCTGAAATCTCCAAGGTGACCTTCAAGGCCTGACATGGTTTGGCCTCAGGCTGCCTCTCCAGCCACTGGATGACATGGTCTCCTGTTCTCACTTTGCTCAGACACATTGCCTTCTTTCAGTTAATCAAGCATTTCAAACTCCACCCACCACAGGACTTGGCACATGCCTAAGAGGCATCCCTAATTTAACATGCCTCAAAACAAGCTCCTGAACCAGCTCTCCCAACCTGCTCCTCTCATAATCTTCCCCATCTCAGTCAATAAAAACTTTATTCTTTGTGTTGCTCCCTGCAAAAATGTTGAGGCTGACTTTGAGACTCTTTTTCTCACACTCTATATCCAATCCTCAGCAAATCCCATCAGCTACATGCAATGTATATTCAGGATCTGACCATTTCTCACCGCCTTTGCTTGTGCCAAACTGGTCCAAATCATTATCATAATGGCCTCCTTGCTGCCCTCACCCTTGCTCCACTAAGTCTATCAAGGGATCCTTCTCAAAGGCTGTCAGGTCTGTCATTTCTAGGCTTAAACTCTCCAATGGCTGTCTTTCTCACTCACATGAAAGGAGCTGAATGATTTGGCCACATTACCTCTCTGCTGGCATCTACTCCAATGTCCCCTGCCATCCCCACACACAGTCCCCTCTGTTCTAGAACATGCCCAGCGATGTTCTACTCCAGGCCTCACCTCTCACCCTTCTGCCTTCCCAGAGAGGCCTCCCCTACCCATAGCTGAGTGACTTCCTGCCTCCCCTTCAGGTCTCAGCTCAAAGGTAGCTTCTTAGGGAGACCTTCCCCAGCTGTCCCCTATAAAACATCCACCTCACCTCCACACCCTGGATTCACTATTCAGCTTACCCTTTATTTTTCATCACAGCACTTATAACCACCTGACATCATGTATATTTATTTTGTCATTTGTTTATGGGCTATTTCCTTCCCCTACTAAAATGTAAGCCCCACGTGGGCAGGGAATTTGCGCTGTTCACTGCCTTATCGTCAGCACCAAGAACAGTACCTGACACATAGAATGACTGCATGATGAATGTTATTCCCTTTACTGGAATGTTCTCCAGCCCAGCTTTGCCTTATCAACTCCCAGTCATCCTTCAGATGTCAATTTAACTGTCACTTCTACTGGGAAGGCTTCCCTGACCTTCCATATTTGGTCTAATCTGTAATGTAAGCTCTTTCCATGTATCTTTCTCTGCTGGCATTTATCATGGTTGTAATTTTACACTTGTCTGCAGGATGTATTGATTCAAACTGCACGAGAACAGGAACACTATCTGCTTTTGCTCGACACTGTATCCTCAGGATTTAGGGCAGAGTCCAGCACTTGGTAGGCACTAAATAAAGACTTCTTATGTCAAAATTGACTTTAGTGGAGCCATTTTAAAATGGAGTTGGAGCTGCCTTTCCAGAGAAACTGCTTTGCTGTCTTGAACCTTTGAACTGGGCCAAAATGGCGATTATTTTGCAAGCAATTGTTTGAGAAGTCAGCAGGAGAATGGACATTCTGATCACGAAGATGGAGGATTACGGACTTTCTGAAGATAGAATCAATGGTCAATCAATGTTTAGCCAAGACTAACTCTTTGCCTCCAACTCCAACTAAAATGCTTTGTAATATGACCTCCCTTCTTTGCTTTAAAAGCCCCTACTTTTACTCCTTAGTGGGACCCTATTTGGGTTTCTACCTGAATCTGCG